CCTCCTCCCCCCTCTCCTCCCCTCTCCCCTATCTTTGTCTCCTCCCCTCTCCTCTTCTCCTCCCCCCTCCTCCCCTCCCTCCCTCCCTGACGTGAGTCAGAGCAGACGACTGTGAGCTGCTGATGTTGATTCCCAGTGACAGGTATGTGGCATGTCTGTCTCTCCGCTCTGCTGTGATCGCTCACAGTGACTTGTCCTCAGCTTCGGTGTGAGTGTGCGTGTGCGTGGACAGACGCACCGCTGGAAGCCGTCTCTGGCTGCCTGCAGCAGGCGCTCGCTGTTGGAGGGTTCGGCTGCAGGGTGTCAAACTTTTCTTAGTGCTTTGTGTCGTCACAGGATTCTTTCACCAGACCAAACGCCTCTGTCTTTACAGTAGCTCTGGTTTGTGAGTCATAGACGGTGATGATGAGAATATCTCTCATGTCAGTGGATAATAAGGGCTTTGTCATAGAGACGCAGTCCGTCATACATTGTTAGTGATTATTGATTAACACGGCCGAACGTGAACAACGACTTTACGTCCCTGTTACTGGCTCATAAACCAAATGAAGAGATGTTGTAGAGACCGGTGGCTTTAAAGGGCTGAGCTGGTTTAAACTGAGATAAAATGTGTAGTGAATGTTGTTTAATGTACATTAAATTGATCTGATGCCGCCCGTAGATCCTCAGGAGCATCCTCTGTGTGCTTCCTTTGTCTGCCGAGTGGCTCCCGGGCGTTTTGGCGTGGGTGCGGGCGCCCAGCCGCCCCTTCTGCCACAAGTACATTATTTATTCTTGTTTATTTCTGGGTGTTGGTGTGCTCGTCTGCCTTTGTGCTTGTGTGCCTGAAGGAAAAAGCCAACATATATGGACGTGTTTTCCACGTGCATTCATACGGACAGGAACGAAGACCATCTCAGCCATTTTGTAATTCACTATCACTCTTAATTATCTGTGGTATTATCATTCCAATGGAGCCGTGTGTGTGTGTGTGTGTGTGTGTGTGTGTGTGTGCGCGCACATCAGTAAGCAGTCTAAAGGGTAGATAAACACGCTTCCCGCACAAGACGGGAATTATTCATGAGCTGTCACAAAGTATTTCCAACCACTCAGATAATTGAAATAATGATGTTAAAATACTCGCACATGCTCACGCACACGCTAACATTAGACATACACACACACGGGGGAAGCAGCTCGTGAGAGAAGGTGGTTTAACATTAGACATACACACACGGGGAAGCAGCTCGTGAGAGAAGGTGGTTGATAGTCTTCTAATTTCCCACAGTAGGAATGAAT